CAACGATTAATTTTAGAATTTTTTCGGAAAATTTTTCTAAATTAATGTCTGTTCTGCAAGTTTTATATATACCGATAAAATTAAAGAACAGGTTAATAAAATAAAGTTGAACCTGTTTAAGTAGGATGTATACATATAAAGACATATAAAGTCTCAATGAAGAAGTGTTTTAAATAATGCTATCTGAAATTCATATTGATATAAAATATTTAATTTTCTAGTTACGTTTCCGTGTAGCAGATTTTGAGACAATAAACCTACTATCATAGATAAATATGTCAATTGTGGTAAATAGTTTCAAGTGTAAATCGGTTGGGTCGTTTTATCTGTAATAAATTATTAATTTTCTCTTTAGTCTTAACAATTTTGAAAATTTAAGATATAGTTGAGTTATCAAAATTCGTCGATTTTACATAAAATTGAATGAGCCGTTTTTGTAATTAACAGACATAGGTTTTTATGCATGTTTTTTCAAAAAAAATAATCAATTAGATTTGAAGAATGGAATATTTATTTGAAAGATATCACTCGGAAACTGTGTTGATTAGTTTCTGTTGAAATTCGGCGAAGCCACCTCTAGGCAAACTATCTAATTATAAAAATAAAAAAATTAAATATTCTTGTTGATCAACCAATTATAATCACGTAAAAAAACTTGGGCATCTCGTAGTTCAGTATTTATACATAAGTTGCAATTTGATATTCGCCTCGGGCAGACTGATGTCAAACAGTAGTGACACCAGTTTTTACTTGGAAATATAGATAACATTATGTTTTCATGTGAAAATAGCCCTTACCCGGCATTGCTGCCTCTAATAAAGTCACCAGTATTAAAGTTATTCTAATAATAAATTTATCAAGAAGAAATAGGCCAACGGTTGGGTTGCCTCTACAAAGCCACGATATAAAGAAATCATGACAACAAGCTTACAGGATTATTAAGTTCTGATTGCTGTTAACGAAAAAAAGTAGAATTTAACTATTTTATCTTGAAATGCCACTGACGCATTTATTATTTTATCCATTTTCCGCAAAATCTCAATTTGACAATGCTGTTGAAATATTTTTTTGTTATACTTTTAATTACAATCTGTCATATAAGGACATTCAATAATTGTTTTGAGGATTATACGGCTTTTCAATGAATGGTAGCGCAGTAGTTATTGTCAAATACAATTGTACATACTTGAAGTATTTGCTGACATTTTATGATAGCATATGCAAAGGTAATTTTCTTGAGATCATATTAAGATCTACGACTTCAAGTGGAAATTTGACATCAAAGCTGCCTGATGTTCGACTAGGCAGTGGCTGGGGACGAACCAGTGAATCTGGGACTAGTTGGTGCTAGTCCACGTCCGAACTGATTACGCCATCATTGGGCCCAGTTGAAGTACATATGTTTCCCTTTGAAAATGTTTTAAATACATGCATTACATGTATTAGTATACTACGTACAAACATTAGTTTATTATGTTACTTACTTAACTCGCTCTTCCGCGGGTCCGACCGTTGAATTCATCGCGGGAGGTTGTATTAATCGATACGAAAACAAAAAATAAGCACACGCAAAGTCATTCGGTTAATTCATCGGGGCATTCCACTTGATGTTTTGGCAATGCAATGTATATATACATACATATATGTATGTACTTGTTTTCAAGGTTCAATATCCTAACCCCCTTTACAAGAGCACGCACTCGAATACATTAGTCGTAAGGATTATGTACACGACACAATGGCCTAGCTGTTAAACAACGAAATATTCTATGTAATTATGGAACAAGGAAGTTGTATTCGGATGGATCACTTGTTAAACTAGAAGTGAATCTTTAATCCAATTGCTGGAATTTCTCGTTTAATAAACAAATTAAATGAAGTTTTTTTATGAGCAGCAATCAGTACTTAACCACTTCAGTACGGCATAGGTGCCGCGAAAAGTCGCTCGCAGCCGGCATGCAACGTCAACTCAACGCGACGCCCGGTTGTGTGAGGCATTCTGCGGCCGTAGAGTATACATGTCGCTCGTACCGAATTAATTAAGAGCCCTATAAGCTGTCGGACTGATATGACTGAATTCCAGTCAGTTCTACAGATGGCAACCCAAACAGTTGTCAGGACTATTTTCACTTTGAAACATATTCCTATCTATATTTCCAAGCGAAAACCGTTGTCACTACTGCTCCGAAATAGCGATCCTCATTCTAGTCACTTTCCTACGAGCGAGCCCGATTGAAGTTAAATTATCAATATAAATTTGATTTTTGTAAATTAAGAAATTTAAAAACATTGGAAAATTTTAAAAAAATCAATTAACATACGATATCATAAATTTATTGAAAGGTTTATCTTTTTGGGTAAATTTATTGAGAATTCTAATAGGTTGTCAAATATCCTTTTTGTATTATAAACCAAGAGCAAAAAAGCGGAAGGGAGATATTTGACAACCTAATACTTTGATATTGTAATTGTAAGTTTTTTTAGAAAAATTCTTAAGCCATGGTCTCATATTTCGCTCCCCAAAATTTCCATGTCAAGATATTGTTTTAGCAAAAACCAATGAGATAACTGGTTATAATTGACAAGTATACTAGTTACGAGAAAATGGCAGAATTTTGTGTATTGACGAGTATATTCGTCAAGCGTCTATACGCTTTATCATCGGGTCATTGGCTATTAAAATTACAATTTTTGAGAAAAACAAAATATATTTTATTTAAGAGTGGTGTAATTTCAAACTTAATGACATTAATTTTCGGTTTCGATAATATACAGCGGAAAGTGAAGTGAAGAAAACTTGTTTGGAAATCAATGCAACTTTATTATACATATTATATCATTTTATGTTATATATAATTATATTAATATTTGCCCACAAAAGAAAATTTTCAATTTGAGGAATACATTGAAAATCATTTTAAAACTATATACATTTACAGTTTTCACTGAAAGTAGGACATGACAGATATTGATCATTGTTTATGGCTGTGAGCTGAAGCAATTAATAATTTCTATAAAGCAATAATCGTTATTCTTTGAAGTTTCTCGAGCTTTAATTCTCTATTTATCAAGAAAATAGACTGTATCTGCTTGAATGCAGATGACGTGTGAATTATGATATCTTGACGTACTATTGAATTTGCAAAAATGCGAAATAATGTCAATAATAGATATTAAAAATCATTTTAAAGTCACTAAGAATATAATTTGAATATCAAGAAAAAAATACAAATTTTGAAGTTTTCAGAATTGATCCTTAAAGCATAGGTTCCCAAACTTTTTGTATCGTTGAGTCCTTTAGCTTTGCCCTATTTAATCGGTATCGATTTTTCTTATAAATTTTAACTGTACTAAATTTATTATTAAATATTTGAAGTAAAAATACGTGCTACTTTTTATTAATTAAATAAAAAAATAATAAAAAATCAAGTACAGAAAAGGAAAGTTAATAACATTTGACAACAATTTTGTAAGGTGTAATTCTACATCTTCGTCTAACTACAAAATATAAAATCATATGCATAAAAGCTCAATTATAAACTACTACTCATAATATAAAAACGACAATGACCGAACCAACTTCTTTTTTCAGATCATCATCGACTAATATTACGTTCAGCAAACGTGTACATTAAATTGAAATGTGCGAAGGAATGATAGCCAGGCAGATGTTATATTTTTATAATTAATAAACTCTGAATGTATAATTATTTACAAAGATCCTTGACTTTCTTCAATATCGATTATACAAAATGCGCTGAATATGTAATTAACATACGTCTCGATAACATATTTTATATAGTTTAACAGGTTTCCTGTCTAGTGATAAACACATATGAGAGCTAATTTCTATATGGCGTATATAAAAACTTAAATTCTATATAATAGTTTAGAAAAGCAAAAGTGAATTAATCCCCTGCAGTGCCAATAGAAAAAGAGATGTAGCAAAAAGCTATATAGACATTAACAGAGTTCTGCGCGAATGTAAGTTTGAA